CCCCCCCCCCCCCCCCCCCGCCCGCTCGGCCCTGAAGACGACTCCTCTGCAAGCAAGGCGAGCGCATCAGCTTGTTGCTCAAAGTCGGCTCATAGCCGCGAGTGACGCCAGGAGGGGAGTCGGTTTTTAGGAGTTTCGGCGTTCCCTCTCCAGGCTCCTAGGGCTTTTCGAGATGCTATGGTAGGCCTTTCAACGATTTCGGGGCCGGGGGATTCTCTTGCTGGGGGCTTAAAAGCCTTTTCAAAGGAAAGGCGCTTCAAAGTGCATGTGGACGTGCCCAAAGAAGTGGCACGTCCTTCATGCACGAAGACACGCACGAGCTCTACCCGAAACCCAGACCGTCGACCTCAGAGGCCCCGTCTCCTCAGAGCTTACCTCTCTAGAGGCTCTAAACCCTAAACCCTAAACCCTAAACCTTGACCCTAAAGCCGCCAGAAGCCCTGCGAATCACAGTTGATCGGAACCCTGCCCGCGTTGTGTGTTAGCCGGTGCAAACGGGCTAGTCCAGGGCTGGTGAGAGCTGATGCTTGCAAGCCATGCTGAGCTGCCGTGGAGTCTTATGGTTTGGTGTTTAGCCCCAAGTTTACAGTTTAACTTAGGCCAACCTGGACCGACTATGCTATGGACAGACATTGTTGTTGCCTTTTCGGGGCATGGCGGAGCCGTTTTGCAGTTGGTTCCGTGCCCGGTCGTGTCGTATTCGGCAGCATGTCAGTAGCTAGCGCGAAAAGCAAAACAGCATGTTGTCTTCTCTTCCGAAAGTCACATAAGAATGTTGTTGAGGCTTAAGATTCGGAGAATGGACTAGTCCGGCATAAGAACTTTGAGCTTGGAATTGGCGCTGTCAAAGATCATGTTGAACTCGAGGCACTTGAGAAACTGCTTGAATTTCATTGGCAGCAAGCATCGCTCGAGTCCTGGGCTTGTACAGACCAGCGGCGTTGTGCATAGATGGAGTTCAGATGATGCTGCTTTTCATAGCACGTGTTTCTGTTCAGGACTGTTTCGTCCTTTCGGCAACCCCAGCTGCCCATGCAAAAACAGAGCCCCTGCGGAGAGCTGCAGCACGTGGATTGAGTTGTGGCAGGCTGAGCTCCTTCGTACGGTTCCTACAAGGCTTCCTTTCAAGGGTTACTAGAAGAGCTTGACATTGGTTCCTATAAGGCTTACTAAATCTTACTACCATCGTCTGATTTTGATTTTCCTGAAACCTTGAACCCTGGCCCAAATCCACATCCACATCGTGACCGCGCGGTTCCAGCTTGGCTTTTTCGGTTTGCTTGCAAGCTCAACGGATGCCGCTCAAGACATTATAAATTATAAACCCCTGGCAGTAAACCCTAAACCCTACACTCCTGAACCCTAAACCCTAAACCCCTAAACCCTAAACCCTAAACCCTTGTAAGTATTTAGGGTTTAGGGTTTATCTCCCCGCGGACTCGAACACGCTGAACCCTCCAACCCAAAAAAGCCAGCACCGAAAGCCCAATCCAGACCCCCAACGGTTTTGGGAGTGTAGATTTCGATTTGTGCCATACAACCAAGTTTTCAGTCCTAGCTTCTAGGATTCTAGGGCTCATGCACCTCTCAGGTATGCGTTTCTGGGGGCTTGAGTAGTCACTATTCGCTCATGGGAATCCCCTTTTTGTCCCCAAATAAGTGCATGATACTGTGCCCCAAAAAACATAGTGGCGAGCCTTAAAAGCCTAAAGCCTAAACCCAAACCTTAAAACAAAGCCTGAGCCCTAAGTAGCGCCTTAAAACAAAACCTAAGTAGCGAGCCTCAAAAGCCTTTGAGCCATGCCAACCCCTCCTTTGCGGAAGCTGTTGCCCCTGGCTGCGGGCTGCTTCTTTGCCGGGCGGCCCAGACGTACGATAGGAGCCTTAATAGTTAGAATAAGGGTTTGGGTTTAGGGTTTAGGGTTTCGGGTGTATATGCTACTACAAGGACCCCAAAACCCTAATCTAAGTTAAGGCCCCTATATTAGACCCGGTGGCGACTTTGGATCTAACGACTTGGCGATGGAGGGGCTAAGTTGACGGCGGCAGTTCAGATGGGCTCAGGGTTCAAACCCGAAGTTATAAAATTCTGAACAACCCTAAACCCTAAACCCTAAACCCTAACCGCAAACCTCAGAACCCTCCACCCTGAACCCCCTATACAAACACTAATATGAAGGCTTGGACATGAAGAGCTACTTAGTACGTAGGATCACAGCATAGCATGCCGCACTCTCAATTTTCACAATCACGGCCCTAAACCCTAAACCCTAGACCCTTTTAAACCCTAAAACCCTAAAACCCTAAACCCTAAACCCTAATCCCTAAACCCCAAACCGCAGCCCCCAAAGGAGAACCGCAATTAAAACCACCGCAAGCCGAGGCAGCCGCCCCGTTTTCCTTCAGCCTGGCACCTGGCCGCCCGGAGGCACCGTTGCTTTGGGTTTAGGGCTTAGGGTTTGGGGTTTAGGGCTTCATAGGGGTTTGGGGTTTGGGGCTTAGGGCATGGGGTTTGGGGTTTAGGGCTTAGGGTTTGGGGTTTAGGGGGCATGGGGTTTGGGGTTTAGGGCTTAGGGTTTGGGGTTTAGGGCTTACTAGGGTTTGGGGTTTGGGGCTTAGGGTTTGGGGCTCGCGGGGTTTAGGACTTAGGGTCCGTTTTCTGCTTTTGAGGGGTGGGGCGGGGTGGGTTCAGGGCTGCGAGTGCAGGGCTTTGGGTGACCCCTAAAGCCCTGGACAATAAAGCCCTGAGCCTAAGCCTACCAAGCCCGAAACCCTAAGGCCCAACTTCCGCAGAACAAGGAGCATCCTCACAATCCTGTCTAAGCCCTAAACCCAAAACCCTAAACCCTAAACCTCAGAATATGGTTCATTTTTTTGCTTTCTGGCAAGTTGGTTCCGACAGATGGAGTTCTGGACTTCGGATGAGCCTCGAAACGCTGCGGAAATGCACAGGTTTTTTTAAATATGAAACCTCTACGGGTCCTTATGAAACCCTATGGAACCCTTTTCCGGGCAGGTTTGGGTCGTGGGAGTTGCAGGGGTGATAGAAGTTTAAGGTTCAAAGAGTTGGTTTGTCACAAGCTCTCATTGGGGCTTTAGGGTTTAGGGTTTAGGAATTAATTCGGCTAAACCATGAAACCTAAACCCACATCCAGACAGACCCTACTCCCCGATAGCAACAAGCTGACGGAGTAAGCCGGTTGCCTTCATTCGGAGAGGAACCCTAAACCCTAAACC